TAAAAAGAAACTTTTATTTTGACTCTTTTGGAAAACCCAACTTGGCTGGGTTTTAAGTGTTTCTGAATTTATCTCTGCCTTTTTCAAACTCTGAGCCATTCCATGGCCTGAGTGTGTTTGCTATATGGGATCACACTGAGCAAGAACTGGAAGGGCTTGACATGCTCCCGGAGGACAAGCCACATAATTATGGGTTTGCCATGCCGATCTAGTTGCCCACAGAGGGTGAAGCCACACTGCAAGACCAGAAAGTCTGCTTGAAACAAGGTCAAACCACTTATGATCCCAGAGGTTTCTATATTTTCTGGGAGAACAAGCCATGTGATGTACAGTCCCATTGCGACAGAGCTGTACAATCAAGCTCTTTAAGTAATGTAATGCCAGAAGAAAGAGACCTGAGCCATGATCCCAGGCATGTCATAACACTCCGGAGTTCAGAGAGCACTGTGCTCCCCATATGTGACCAAACCAGACTGATATCCCGATTGCTGGGCATAACTGAAAAAGCAGAGTGGCAACAGGCCACAAGGACAGAGATGTAAGCACAGCTATAGAGATGTAGGCTGACTCCAGGTTAATTGAGGTCAAAACTGGCCTTGCCCATCAGCAAGCAGACTGTGGCTCCACCCTAATTATATGCCATTAAATGAAGCAGCCGTATGGAAAAGCAGGCCTCAGGGAGCTCTGGGGAAAGATTCTGATCCCAGCTTCAAGGAGATCATACTGTGAGCAGCTCTAAAGCAGCCACCCTTCACAATGAGAGTGAGGGAGTGGGAAGGTGATCTCCAGAACAAGCAGCCTGGTTGTAGACCTCCTGCTGACCACTGCTGACACATTGCAGTGATGCAAGTCCCACACCGGAATGGCACACAATTCAGAGGGAATATCCCATCCCTTTCCATATGTACTTTGTCTCCACATGCATGGAAGACAAAGGACTCCCTGAGAAGAGAAATAGCCTCTGAAAAGCCCACACTCTCAAAAGAAGCAGAGAGGATCTGTTGGCGCCACCAGATTAAAGCAATTTTGCACTTAGGATACAAACACATGAGTCCATATTGATCACCACTCTGCTGACACAACTTTGCATTAGAGCAGGGACATGATCCACCTAACAGGATCCACCTAACAGGATCAGCAGCTTGGGTTTCTAGATGCTGCCATCTCACCCAGCAGCAGCAGAAACTCAGCTTTGCTTGCTGAGTACAAACGCAAGCAGCTGCATGTGAGCCAGCAAAGATCACAAGAAAGAGGGTCACCCACCTCACTGGAGAAATAAAAGTATCTCAGTTATCACTGACATTAATGGAGTGCACAAGAAGCAGACAAAGGTAATGTGCCAGTGCCCCGTCTCTGAGTGTGAAGTCATGACCCAAATGCAGGCTGAGCTGCTCCAAGCCAGCACCCTGCCTGCTCTGAGTCTTCACCCCATCACCTCATCTTTCTGACCCATTTTATGCCGGATCAAACTCGCCATCATCTCATCTCTACTCTACCCTCATCTCATCTCATCTCTACCCTCATCTCTACCCCTGGTCACATCTCCTGTTCTGACCAAGAGCCAGAACGGTAACATACCTCCTGTAAATACCTGGGCTACTGCCTGTGCCTTGGCATCTGAGCCTAGCCCTGGCCAGCAGCCCCTCCACTGTCAACGAGAGCACAGCACATTCCCAGGGTTCATCTGGCTGAATAAGTTAGAGTTGGGTTGTTTGGAGTATGCAGTATGCTTTGATCTTGTTGAGTTTGCTTTCTGCCTTCAGAAGTTGAATTGATTCCATTACTTACAGAGAAGAAACAAATAGACACAGAAATGAATAGTGGGTATCTTTCTACTCCGAGCTATCTCTGCTGAAGCCTATGCAAACCTTATTCTGAAGATGACACCCAATGGTGAGGGCAGAGTGTCCAAACAGCACCGCTTCCAGGACTGTGAAGCTTGAAAGTTGACAACAGCTTTTCTTCTCCTAAAAGCCATGGCTGGCAGCCAGCAGGAAGAGATTCTTTCTTTGAGATCCATTCCTCAAAATTAATGAAGACGAAAGGACAGGTTGTACAAGAAAGAAAGAAGAACACAAAAATAAGAGGCCAACATATTTTCCCCACTGGACTGTGTAATTAATAGTATCGGTTTTAAAAGTGCTATAAAGAAAGCTGAAATGGAGAACCAACCCTCACTTCTACAGCCGCAGGCAGTGAATTCTGTGCTATTTGAATTATCTGAATGTTCAGACTGGTAATGGGAACAGTTCCTTTGCTCCTAAAAAGAGCAGCTAATAACATACAGTTAAATGGGGACATATTAAAATATGCTTTCCCCAGCCTTTGGCTGCTTAAGAAATATATTGGCATTAATGGTAATTACAGGCCATCAAAGCACTGAGGAACAAGGCTTTATAAGGAACAAAGTGTTTTCAGAAAAGGTTAATGCATTAACTTACTCAGTTGCATTTTGAATACAGCTTGGTTTGGAAACTGATGTGCCTGTAAGGAAAATCCATAGCAGAAATAAGAAAATAATGCAGGTCAGTTCGTTGAAACTGATTTGACTGCACTACAAAAGAACAAAAAAATGCCAGGGAATGGAAATGTGACTTACAAATTAAACACCCACAGCATCATCATACTTGAACCTGTAAAGAAACAATGTGAGAAAGATGAAGAACAAAGGAGATAACAATTTGATACGGTTATAAAAGCATTTGGAGCAGGCATAATTATATATTTTTTCTTATTATTTAAACATATAAAAGACAAAGAAGGATCAAAAAGGGATATCACAATACTTATGGAGGATGAAAATGGTAACTTGGCTGCTATGGAAATGCTTTATCCAGAGTTTTGGGGTATGAACTGGAGCTGTTTTCAGGAGAGATGTGATAAAAAGCTTTGAAGGAAGAAAAGCAATATTTTCAGCACCCTTTCAGAAGGGGAAATAGGTAGACGTGGCTTCTCATAGAACAAAATGGTATTGATAAGATTTTCCCGAACAGACACATAGAAAAAAAAATCATTTGAAAGACATCCAAAATGCACAACCAATAAATTCAATTAGATATTTCCAGAGGAACAGGAGTGATAGGAGCATGTTAGAGATCATGGTCAGGGGTAACTGTCTTCACTATGAATTCAAGTTATAGAGTTCCCTTTCCAGAATGGAAACTGCCACCATATATTAGTTTTTATTTAATCACACTTGAAATTAACACTCTGTATTTTCAAACATCTAAGAGATCTAAAAACATAAGCGATGCTCCTCACTGGAACAGGTTGCTGAGAGAAGCTTCTAGGGATGCCCCATCCCTAGAAGTGCTCAAGGCCAGGCTGAGTGGGGCTTTGGGCAACCTGATCTAGTGGGAGGTGTCCCTGCCCATACTAGGGGTTTGGAATTAGATGATCTTTAAGGTCCCTTCCAACCCAAACCATTCTGTGATTTTATGAATCTATGAAAAGAGCTATACTAGACAAAATATCAAAACACCTTTATTTGTCCCACCGATTTTGATTACCACTGTGTTATACAGTAGGCATTTTTTTAATGACTAGTTATTAGCATCACCTTCTCACACAAAGTTACATTTTCCATGTTTAATCTGAGCCCTTTGCAACACATCTCCGTGACCAGTGAAATGCCTGTGAAATCATTGTTTGTTTATCTGCTGAATGTACTAGCAATTAAAACAGGGCACAGCGGGTGTTCCACCTTACTGGGGAGATCATCTTCTGAATCACCGTGAGATTGTTTGCCCTTTTTAGTATCCTTAGTGTAGCTTCAAAACAGCAGGCGCGTCTTGCTGATACACGTAATGATAGAAACCGGTATGAAGAACACTGGTGTAAATTAACATTGGGCATGAAAACACTCCTGAGAATATTTTTTAAATGACATAAAACTCTAGGAACTGACCATATTGCGTGTGGAACTGCAAACATATTGTTAGGGTGGTAAGCGTTTGTTCAAAACTATCTTATGTGTTCTGATAATCAGACTCAGCTCCTCTGTTCTGAAGTTGACATTGTTTTGAATATTCCTGATCTCTGAAAAGAAGACAGAAATTTAACTTAGCTCGCGAATGCCAAACCTCGCTGCCTGTCAGCACTGTGCTTACTTGGTACTTTACTAAACTGGCTAGGGATCCCAGTAGCTGCGTCAATCTGTGCAAGGCTCAGAAGAACAGGCTATGACCAGCAACAGAAACAGCCAAGTGCTGTGCACTGTGACCGAGACACAGCTGAAACAGAAGCCCAACCAGAATGACTGGGTGCATTACTTCTCAAGTCAGATTAATTTGCTGACAGTTGACATGCTCGCTGCTCGGTTTTAAGAGATCACAAAACTGATCCCTTTTTAGATACGTCTCTGTGAAACACACAGAACAGAATCCGTGCTGTCAACAATTTTTATTATATACCCTAGAGGTCTCCATTTCAGCTTGGTGAGACCTTTCACACTCAGGAGGCTCAAGCCAAAGACTTCAACAAGATGATTTACCTCGCAATACTGTTTCTTTTCCCAAGGCCACCCAGAATCCTGTTAAGTAGCCCTGCACAGTATCACTGTGCGACAGCTGTCAGAGCTGGTTTAACAGATAGCCTGTAACTTGCCCCCTGAAGCTTTAAAATACCTACTCCTATATGTATACCTAGCTTTAAAATACCTAACCCCTACGCTTTGCTTTCCTCTTTCTCTACCAGCTATAAAGGCATTGCCTACACTGTGTGTGTCTTTGTATATGATTGCACTAACATTTTGCTTTGGTTATTGATGTAGCGGGAGACAGGTCAGATGGCAAAGAAAACTCCCTAGCTGAATGAATGCCCCACTGAAAATCAATTTATTCAGAGAAAATTCTCAACTGTGATAAGCAGCATCCTGACTGCGTAGGCAGGGAGGGAGAAGCAAAGAGCCAGTGCTTTGTGTGTGTGAAGCACACGTCCCCCCAGCCGTGCTCTGGGCCCAAAACAACACTTTTCTGTCATGGACTGAGGCTTGAGACGCTTTCGCTCATCCCAAGCCCGGAGGGCGAGGGGCAGGCGAGAGGCGGCAGCCGCCCTCCCGCTCCTCCTCTTCCTGCAGCCGCCGCCATGGCGCCGCGCCGCGCTGCCGCCTGCCTCCTGCCGCTGCTGCTGGCCGCGGCGGCGAGCGCGGGGCTGGGCGGCTACTTCGGCACCAAGTCCCGCTACGAGGAGGTGAACCCGCACCTGGTGGAGGACCCGCTGTCCCTGGGGCCCGTCGCCGCCGGGGCGCGGCTGCCCGCCGCCTGCGCCCCGCTGCAGCTCCGCGCCCTGCTCCGCCACGGCACCCGCTACCCGACGGCCGGGCAGATCCGCCGCCTGGCCGAGCTGCACGGCCGCCTCCGCCGCCGCCCGGCCGCCGCCGCCGCCTGCCCCGCCGCCGCCGCCCTGGCCGCCTGGCAGATGTGGTACGAGGAGAGCCTCGACGGGCGGCTGGCGCCGCAGGGCCGCCGCGACATGGAGCACCTGGCCCGCCGCCTGGCCGCCCGCTTCCCCGCGCTCTTCGCCGCCCGCCGCCGCCTGGCGCTGGCCAGCAGCTCCAAGCACCGCTGCCTGCAGAGCGGCGCCGCCTTCCGCCGCGGCCTCGGGCCGTCCCTCAGCCTCGGCGGCGACGGTGAGCCCAGGGGACCCCGGCCCCCGAGGGGACCCCGGCCCCCCGGTGCTCCAGCGCGGCCTCCCCTTCCCCGGGGGGAGGGAGCGCGGCGCTGAGCACGGGTTTCTGCTTGCAGAGGCGGAGATCGAGGTGAACGATGCCTTGATGAGGTTTTTCGATCGCTGCGACAAGTTCATCGCCTTGGTGGAGGAGAACGAGACGGCGATGCACCAAGTGAACGCCTTCAAAGAGGGGCCTGAGATGAGGAAGGTTTTGGAAAAGGTAGCAAGTGCCTTGTGTTTGCCGGTGGAGGAGCTAAACGCAGGTAACGAGTGCCTGTTTCATGTCAGTACACGGCTAAGCCCGAATTCCAACGTGCTGTGTAGTTATGCAGAGTAGGTAACTTCAAACAGGCGCTAAACTAGTCTAGAGCAGTCATGGGGAATGAAATGCATGAGGTGTACGAAATATATGTCAGTCTTGCAACAGGGAATGCTTGTTAGCCAACAGTCAGAACACCTTCCAAAATATCTGTATTACTATGGTACAGGTGATACCATCTTTACCTTTGTCTTAAGGGATATAACCCTATGTTTTTAGTGCTTCTTTTGTAAAACACGTTACAATTCAAACACCCAAATAACCCATGGGACAGGTGGACCTGTACATCCACATCGCACCTTCACTTGTCTGGAAAAGAAGTGCCAGGTTTCCCTCTGTGGTTAAATGTTGGGGGAGCCCTCAGAAGCAGGCACACTGCTCTCCTTTCCAACATCGCCCTAAAGACTCAATCCCAAAGCTCTGCAGCACGTAAACTCAGCTACTAATGCAGACATTGAGTAGTGATAGCCAAAGACTGCTCTGCATTAAGCAGACACTTTCCACACACTCTTGCATTTTTTGTGGTGATAAGGACACACCAGCAATCAACACCTATAGCATGTACATGGGCAGGCGTGCAGCGCTAGGTGTGGAATGTGCTCGGTTTGTTCCCCCCTCCTGCCAAATGTAATGTGAAGACTTGCAGCTTGAATTTGTTAGTTCTTTGAAGTTGCTAGTTCTGTAGCTGGTGGTTTATCTTTTGCTGGTTTCTTGGATTTATTGCAGATCTTGTTCAAGTGGCTTTTCTCACCTGCTCATATGAGTTGGCCATAAAAAATGTGACCTCCCCATGGTGTTCGCTCTTCAGTGAAGAGGATGCCAAGGTAGGTGCTGAATGTAGAGGGCAGAAAGATTTGAGAAGCCTTTGAAAGATGCCTTAATGTTCAGATACTGATCCTTTGCAAAGTCAGAAGTTGTAAGTTCTGTGCCCCTTGTTCTTCAACCTATTGAAGAGCTTCTTTGGTCTACAAAGAACTCTGGATCAATCCAACAGTAGGACTGAAATACCCTTCTTCATTCCGACTTAAATACTGGTGCAGCTTTGATTCATCCTGATTAAAATGTTTTGTTTTGTTTTGTTTTTCCCATTGCACTTAATTCATATAATGCCTTTTTTCCCGTAACACCTCAAATGCTGTGGACAACTGTGTTTTGCATATAATACTTTCATATGATAAAATGCCTCGATTCTAGAGGACAGCAAATGAGGTCTTATAGATCCTCTAAGACTTCTTTTTAGTTGGTTTTGGTGACCATCAGATCTCTAAACTTAATGCCTTTCAATAAAGCTTGTAGAACTTGGGTAAATATGAATTGCTTGGGATTCCCCTTTTTGAAAAAAAAGTATCCGGTTACTTTTTAGAGTTCTTTGGGTCAAGAGAGATGGGGATTAAGGGCGATGATGTTTATTTAGCACTCCAGAACATGTGGTAAAGTCCCTGCAGAGGCTCTAAAGTAAGCTTAGCAGCCCTGGAGAAGAGGGAGGACCTCTGCATAGAGAGACGTGAGGTAGATGTAAGGGTGGGCAACGGAGTCAGGAATTAAGTGGCCACCTCTCAAAAAGGAGGTGGGTTAGCATGGACTTGTGCTGAGACCTGTCCCATTCACTATTTCTATAAGTAACTTAGGAGAGAGGTGGGAAAATTTGCTGATTAAACAGAGTTACTTGGGTTATTAAGAATATGGGGTGTTTGAAAAGCTTTGCAGATGGACCCTGCAAGGTTGAATTGCCCAGCAGTACAGTGACAGATGGTGTTAAGTGTAAAATGATGAATGGGATAAGAAGATAAAGCTTTGGTTAGGTGGCAGGTACTCAGATTAAGTTTTTGCCACTTAGAAGTGAAATTTTGTTGCTGAAAATATGCTAAATACATGAAAATGGTAGGTCAGCTACAATGGAGTTAATGAATAAAAATTAAAAAGAATTTTAATGCTTATAAGAAAGGGAATAGAGAAAAACAAGGAGAGCTTCATGTGCTCTTAGTAAATCTAAGATGCAGTTCTGTCTTGAGATGTATATGGTTTTGGTCTCCCACATCGCAAAAAGGACAGAATATGACAAACTACTGAAGCAGTGGAGTTGTTTCCATTTGAAGAATGATTAACTAAGCTGAGGATCTTTGACCTTCATAAAATTTTCAACTGCAAATCAGAAATGCTACAGTGGTGGAAAGGGATTGTCTTGTCATGTACAGTAACTAAAAGGTAACAAATAAAGCTAGTAGCAGGAGGTTCCAATTAAACTTTTTTTTTTTTTCCACATTTAGAAGCCAATCTGCAGGATACTGTTAAGGCTAAAACTTGATATGTTGAAAAGGGAAATTGCGCTGCTGTGGGGGAGTATCTACTGAAGTCTATTAAATTTCTAGAAAGCCCTGGGCTAAAAATTACTGCAGTGTGGGGAAACGTGTGTACCATTTTCCCTAGCCATGATTCTAAGTAAGGTTGTATACAAGATGCTGAATCTGGTGGCTCTTTGGTCTGATCCATTGTGTCAGGTTTCATGCAGAAACACTTTGAGCTGGAACCTTGTTTTTTTTTTTTATTTTTTTATTTTTCAAAGAATTGTTTATTTCATGTAGTGTGCAGTAGCATCATTGTTCTATGCTGTGTTTTTTTTCTACTTTGTGCAATAGTAAAAATTTGTGAACTGTGTAACTTCAGATACTGGAATACTTGAATGACCTGAAGCAATACTGGAAGAGAGGATATGGCTATGACATCAATAGTCGCTCCAGCTGCATTTTATTCCAAGATATCTTCCAGCAGTTGGACAAAGCGGTGGAAGAGAGCAAAAGGTAAATTTTAAAAAAAAGGCCTTTTGTGTTGACTGCAAGCTTTCTGTGATCAACCCTGAGTTGAATTTAATGCAAATAGAAGTAAAACATTTCCAAACGTAATGACATTAGGAGGGTTTGGTTTATGAGAATTTGTAATAGAGGAAATAAAATGCTTAATAGAGCAGTATTACTGTAAAGGGTATATATATTTTTTCTTCCATTGATGTTCTTGTGCACAACAGATTTATTTCCATATTTTAACCTATTGATCTGAACAGGCCTCCAAGGGACAGCCAATTACTGTGTCTGACAACGTATTCTTTGTGTTGTGCACAGTTTGAGGAGAGGCCATTGAGTTAAAACAATGAACTTTCTGTTCAAAAAGTCTTCATTAAAACCCATTTGTGGTACAAATGGGAGGACTCTGTGTCGGAAAAAGTCCCTGTGATATATATCCTGTTTTCTTGTTATTTAAGCTCTTTGGCATGAAAATCTTTCTTTCTTTCTACATATGTTTGATTTGAGTCTCTTGCACTATTAAAGCTTTCTGTTCAGATTAAAAATAAATAATTAGACCAAAGCAGTCCAAACACTTGGTGACTCTAGAGCAGAACCACTGGTTGCAGAATCCACAAGTCTTGATCTATAACAGCAAACCAGCCTTTGTCATGCCTACTTCTTTTTAACTACAGAAGGGCAAACCTCTGGATGGTATACTCAGTGCCTTGTAGAAACTGGAGAAGGACTCTTCAGTCCTGAAGTTGTTGTAAATGCCTTAAAGATAAAACAAGCAAGTGTCTTCAAAGGATGGTGGTCTGACAAAGTGGTTTGTATTCATGTAGTTACATGATTTGGCAACAGTCATCCTGTGTCAGTGGAGGATGAATAGCAGTGGTACTCCTTCCGCTAAGTTGTGCAGCCCTCGAAAAAACCTTTCTAGTGCCATGGGTATAACTGCTCGTACACTTCCTTGGGAATTAAAAATGTGATGCCTGTGCTGTTTTTGTATATTGTTTAGTCCTATCAGCTGGTATCAGTCAGCAGTAGCGACCTGATGTGGCATGGAGAAAACAGCATAGAAAACAAAGGCTTCAATTACAGTTTGAGATGTTTATGTCACAGAATTACCTGCATTTGCTTTCACATGCCAGTAATATATTTTTTGAGGGCTACTTTAGGTTTAAATACAGTGCATTCATATGAGAATGAATTTACAACCTGTGTGAACGCTTGTGATTCAAACAAAGGAATTACAAATTCATAGCTTAGTGATCAACCACATGAATTAGTACCTCAGTAGGTAACTGTGGAAATGTTTACCAAGGTACCTAAAATCAAGCACATGATATCAAGATTGTATAAATATTGTACCTTTAAATAGTTTATAGGAATCAATGTATGAGTAACTGTAATTTATAATAAGCAAATTCAGCTTTGAATTGCAAATATTAGTTATATGCAGCAGAAGTTCTTGCATTCCTAGCATTCTTGGGACTTTACTTCTAAATTTAGTATATTAAAGTAGATCTACATAATACCCAGGAGAAAAATACTATTTTTTTAATATATATTTCAGAAAGCAAAGCATGAGTCACTGATGTTTGAGGATGAATGTATGTATTTTTTTGCTTGATAACACTTTAGAAAGCACTTTCTTTCCTTTCAGTTGTCAGATTGAAATTACAAGTAGCATTGACATTTTGGAGTAGAGGAATGATCCATACAGTTGTGGATTCTCCCTCCTTGGAGGTCCTCAAAGGCCACCATGGCACAGTCCTGGGCAAGCTGCTCTGGGTTTTCTGTGATGCTGATCATTTCACAGCAGAGAGGACTGCAAAGTTGTGTTCCTTCAGATGTTTGCCGACTGAGGATCCAAGTTAGATGTAAGCAGTGATAGAAGAACCGTGTATTAAGACAGCTGAAGCGTAATTCTCAAACTCATGCTTGGCTTTTTTGCTGTGCTTCCATGCTGGATACAGAGAGATGCGCTCTGTTGATCACCAGAGTGTGGAGTTGCAGGAATGTGGAAGTTATGCTTTATACACAGCATGGTTTCTTTGATCTAAAGCGGAGTTCTCTCTCAGAAAAACAAACCAAATACTATCTAAATTACTTTCTGGGATTCAGGTGGAAAATCCGACTGAGGTGTCCTTTTTAACAGAGCATCAGCTTAGTAAAGCGGGAATTAAAAATGCGCCTTTTGAGATCTACATGCAGGCGTTTTCAGTGCTAGCACCCATGTTGGTTCCTTGATCCTGCTCTAATGAGCACCAGGAAGGGGCTGTCCACGGCTAGAGGTGAGGGCTGAGGAGGGCAGCACGTAGCCCTCTACCTTTCTGAATCAGTGCTGTGCTGCGCACCAGCCAGCACAAAGGAGACAACCCTGTTCATTTTGCCATGAACGGGTTAAAATGTGGCAGTTGAAAGCATGAAATAAGGTTGGTTTTGGGGACTAGTTGCTGTGGGGGAAAGGTGGGCAGCAGGAGGTGGCTGGGGATGGCAATCCCTCTGCAGCCAAGCTGGCTTAAGACATTGTGCTGTCAAATGATTGTGCTGGCATTTGGAAATCCAAGGCTGTCAGAGTCAGTGATCCCTCTTGTTTTGATAGTGGTAGAGTCAAAGCCGTGGTTATTTTAGATTGCCCTTTAAATAAACCTTCCCTGCATCCTTTCTTCAGCCTACCAGGGAGCTAAATAAAAAATGCATTAGGCTGCAGGTCATTAGCATCCAACTGTGAACAGATTGACAGGCACACTGCTGTGATTGCCTCTGTTGTACGCTGTGTCTCTGCCTCTATGAAGACAGAAAATAAGAACTGGGAATAAGAAGATGAAGTGCGGGTTAAAAGAAAAGCAGACAAGCAAAACTCTCAAGACCCTTCCGCCTTAATGAAAAGTGAAAAATAACTTCTTAACATAGCTTGACTCGTGTGAGGAGAACAATCAGTTTTGTTTGCTTTTAGTGTATTTACTCCTTGAACACTGACAGACTTTCAATCCTTAAATTGCAGTGGCTTTTTAGAAAGTAGCTGTGTGCGTTTTAACTGTGTATGTGATATCTCTGTTAGATTAATAATACTAATATTTTTTAAAAAAGTTGTAGTTGACAAAATCCATATCTGCACTTGTGATTTATTGAGCAGTAGATTAGCAGTCCCTAAATTACAAGAGCAGAACCTGGGGGAAGAGCAGGCAGCGTACTAAAGGACAGAGATATTTTCCTCCTGCCTTTCAACTTTGGCTGCACAAGCTCCATCACAGCATGTCAGTCTCTTTGTTGTGTTGCTGCCCCAGAGGGAAGAAGGTAGAGAGTTCATGTGTGTGTAATGAATAGGAACCCTAAAAATCTTGCAAAATCCAAAGCTTGGCGAGCAGTCTGTTTACTGCGTCCCTTCCAAAGTGGTAACTGAAAACTTCCGCACTGTCTTGTACAGAAGGAGCATGTAACCTCATCCCACGACATTAGGTGGCAGTCTTAAAGCACTGAAGACTTGATCTGAATTGGATAGCCTGTGCACTTAAAATTATATGGAAATCTGCCACGGCCAGTGGAGAACAGCTTGTATCTCTCGTGGTCTAAGAGTAGAGGTGCAATTAATGCTTTTTCACCTAAGGAAAGAGACTTATACAGGATCCTGCAGCAATTTGAGAGTACAGCTTAGAACAAGAAACTGCACAAATGAAAAATATGCCTGTATTTTTAACAGTAGAAAATACTTGGTTGTGCTGGTTGCTTTTTATTTTTAGCGGTACAGTGCAACAGGTTAAATACATCTGCAGCAGTTTATTACTCAGAAAAAGAACCTGTGTGGTGATGAAATGTCTCGTTTAGCTGTGTCAAACACCGATTTTAGCTCTGTTTTGTTCTGCAACTGTAAGAATAATTTGACTTCCAGAACCTTGTCTTTGCTCCAGCTTCTCCCATCTTTCTGAAAAGTTTAATTTGGGCTATCCAGAAGCAGAAGGGGAAGCATTTCTGTTCCAGCAAAAAGTTAAAGCATCTGAACTTGCCAGTCTGTTCTAGTTTTGTCAGTGGAGAATGGTGCTGGCAGCTCCGCATTTTATTGCATACTTCAAATACTTATTTTTAGTAGTTTTGTCCTGTTTTCATTCCTAGTTCCAGCTGAATTAAAAAGAGTTTCTACTGTAACCCCTTCCGTGAAGCTTTTCTTGACTTTGCAATCTGATTGTTCACCAGCCTTCAAGTTATTTGCCTAATTTGCCACATTGTTAAAGCTCACTCTTCTTTCTTCTGGAGAAAACATCTGCTGGTGATTAGTCTACCCTTAAGAAAATGACAAAAATCTCTCCAATTTTCAAGATTTTGACTATAAGACCATCAGAGGGTTGGCATTTGCTGAGCCACCTGAGTTACAACTTCAGTGTCTTGGACTCGAATGTCTAGTGTCATTTCAGATGCATAGGGTTATCTGACTTTTATCCTACTTGCCAGCCTTTTAGGGATACTTTTTATGTGAAGGTATCTGCAGTGCTAATAAATATCTGTGGCTAATAAGTCCCACCATCAATTTGCAGTGAAAAAGTTTTGGACGTTTGAGGATCTTTAATATCATATATTCCAAGAGAATAGTTGTTTTAAACCACCAGTATTCTCCACTGTGTAGGTTGTGCTGTGCAGCAAGGTGGCTGTGAAGGCTGTGAAAGGGATTTTCACTGTAGACTTACTCTTGTCAACTGTCCCCATCCGGAGGGCCACTGGAAAGATACTGCAGCACCTGTTGGTGCTTAGGAGCTGGGGCCTGACACTGTGTTTACTGATAGTTGTACTAGTGATCACCTACTGTCAGCACACTCATGCAGGGACCCTATTCTTCTGCATCCTCAGTAGCAATAAAATGTAAATATCCAATAAAGGTTAATTCTTTGGTAGAAAACATGTTTTCCTTGAGGCCTTACCAGCATTGTAATAGGGTCTTCCAGGATGACATTCCTCCATGCCTCTTTGCCTGTCTGTAAGGAAATGTAGTAGTCACGTTTCTAGGGTGAGGTCAGGGGCTC